TTATACATACATAGGTACACTAAATCCACATCCACAAAAATTACTAATAGATATTTATTGTATTTAAAGTATCTCAAATTATTCCAAATACTTAGCGCGCCTAGAGGATGTTTGTGGAGCAATGTTAGAAGACATCTTTCCGCACGCGCGTACAGAAGTATCACCAAAATCATCGGCTTAGATAAGCATTGAAGACTAGCATTATTACAAATATATTTTCTATACTCACCTTAAAATTTCAATATCATATTATTATTCTATTTTAAATTAACTCCAGTTTTTAGTGTGTGAATATTTTTATATAGGTAAATCTAGCAGACCCGGTAGGTAGACGTTATCCTACTAAAGCCTGTTTAGGTTGGATAATTAAGAAATAATATTGATTGAACAATGCCATCTATCGGGTCCAACGATAGCTAAGAGCCACCCCTGCCGCTGATCCCATAATCATTAAAATCGGTCAAGTTTTTAATGAGGAGAAGGATTACGAACACACCGGAATTTCGTATATGAAGATGTACTTCATGATAACAATTATATTAAGATCAAATACTGACTATTACGATTTCAATATATCCTAAAAGATCTAGACAAATGAAGTTATAGTCATCTACGCTGAAGGATCAAGGTGCGACGAGATCAAGTAGGGCCTGGGAGGTGTTGCGGGGTGAAGTGTGGTAACTATGAGGGGATGGGATGAGGGCCACGCGGTGGGTCGGGGGCGGCAGGTAGGGCATCTCGTGGCGACTCGCAAGCGGGCTCAAAGCTTAAATCACGCTCGGCGTTGCTGACGCGCCACGCAGTCCCGCCGCCCCACGCGCTCCAACACGCGCGCCTTTAACGCGATCATGACTGTTTAGGCCGTATTGTGACGTTATCCTTATCACTTAAATATAAACACCAGTAGGTACTCACCCTTTCTTTTTTTTATACTGTTAACTGCTGCGGAACGTAGCAAATGAGCTGGATGGCGAGTTGCTGTTATGGACGACGAATTAGACGACGAAATATTTTTCATTTACGGGCGCAGCGGGTTTGTATTGTATTCGTTTATCGAAATATAAATTTTGGAAATATAATTCAGTAGTCGGTGCACATATTGTCACATTGTATTATTTATCAGTAAAGTAGCATTTAGTGTTCTTAAATTGTAATCCATTGACAGCAACGACATGTATAATATTGAGAGAATCTTTTACTATTCACTAAGTTAAGTAGTTGTTCACATGCTTGGATAATCTGCAAAATCATAATTCATTACTAGAACGCATGGATCTATTTAATAAAATGAAATGTATCAAGGTCAAATATTAAACAACTACTATAGAAAAGAAAATAGTCCATTGTGCAGCGACGCGCCATTCCAGACACAATTTTCTTTTCTTTTGGAGATTGCTGCCACTTGGCCACACAAATATAACACTTTTGGTTAGCTTCCCTGCTAATTAGAGGGTATCGTAATATAAAAAACTAAATATTTTAATATGAAAAAATAATTCCCGCTGTAAACACGTTTTCTTTAATATAATAATAGCAGCACCATAATATAATAATATGAAAAAAGAGATAATTGTTTATTTAAGTATGTATAAAAATGTAAAGAATATTTTCGTCATATATTTTTTACAAATAAGAACTGGGACACCCTATATTTATCTTGTTTTACGACCGCCCGCCAAATTCATTGATGCTAATAACAATAAATCGCTGCGTCTTAGAAAATCTTGAGCCTTTGAAGCGATAGCCTGCGTACAAAAAAAACTAAATTTATCATTCATTTAGAAGTAGTCACTAAAAAAACAACAAGCTCTTTAAAAGCTAATTTCCAAACCACATTTGTAGAACAATTACCGTCTAATAAACTTTTTTCTTTTCTTAATCTGATAATATATTTCGTAATTGCAATAACCAAAAATAAAAATAAAAAAATAATACATATAAATTTTAGTTTATGAGAAACAATATTTTATTAATATAATTTTAACAGTTTTCATTATTATTTTTTGTTATAATATTATTTAAACATTATTCTTTATATTATGCTTATCTGAATATTTGTATTTGCAAATAGGAAAGAAAAAGAGAAAAAAAAACGAAATAAGAGTTTGCTTTTGTATCCGCGTTTCCACATTTTAAATATTATATTCTTACATACTAGCAGAACCCGCGGCTGGATACCTACAATAAAACTTGAACGAACCTTTAGAAATCGTTATTTTACCTAAATGAAGTCCATGCTATCCATACTTTATAATATTATAAATGTGAAAGTTTGTTTGATTGTTTGTTTGTCCTTCTTTCACGTCGAAACGCAGTGACTGATTGGCGTTTTTGTTGTGGAGATAGTTGGAGGGCAGGAGAGTGACGAAGGCTCTTTTTTACCGCGGGAGGTTATCTAATTTCCACGGGAAAACACGTTATAATACAATCCAAAAAAATATTTATGATCAGAATTACTTGAAACTTGGTATTAATGCTCTTTAATATAATTAAATAAATGTGTGTTTTAGCATTTTTCGAAATTAATTCTATAAGGGCATAAAATAGGGGATGAAAGTTCGTATGATACTACCTTTTTAGAGGTTTTTTTACAGTTTTAGTGCCAGCTAAGTCGCGGGTTCTGGTAGTATTAAATAATAATTATATATAAATATATAATAAAGTAGGTAATTCTATCCCCCAATAAAGTTTGCTAAAATCAGTATTTGATTAAGATTATTTTAAACTATAACGTAAAGTTTACCTTATAAATATGGCATGTTGATCAAACAACTGACTCATCAACGCTGAAATTTAGACATCTTATTCTTATGATTAACCCTATTTTTTTTAAAATTAAACTCCTAACGGAATGAAAAAATAGGTGTTTGTATGGAAAATGCATAATAGATTATTACTAGTGCTCATTAGTCAAAGCTTTATTGAATTTTTTCATCTATAAAAAAATAAACTATTACAAAATATTAAAAAAAAAAAATTATAATTCACATAAAAACTCTAAGTTAATGTAAGTATAAGTTAATACATACAATTAAAATAAGTCCTTCAACAATTACATAAATATATAATAATTTGTTTGACAAATATCAAAATTTTATTTCTACCAAGTGATGACAACATAGTCAGTCTTGCTTGTTGCCTGACCCGTTTCCATATTAAAAGAATAATTTTTACATACAACGCGATGTCGAAATGGTTTAAGCGTACAATGGGACTCTTCGCTAATGAGAGACAGCCTCAAGTGCAATACTCGCATTCCACCTTGTGACGTTTCTACGGGCTAACGATATTTGAACCTATTCTACAAGAATTAGTTAAAATATATATGCATGAAGATCAACTTGACTAGTTTGATGAAAGAAGAAAAAAAGTTTTGACATACAATAAACTTAAACGAACCTTTATTACTAACCAGAATTAGTTAAAATATGTTGCAAGCTTGAATATATTATAATAAAAATATTGTAAATCTAACGTTAGTCAAGTTTCTATGAAGTACCTATGCAATTTATTACTTTTTCATTTTTTTAACGCTTTTAGCGTTACAATTTTCTCCAATTTTGTGTTTTCGTTTTCTTTCAATCCGTATACAGAATTCTATTGTTTTTATAGTTTATTGCGCCCTCTACAGGCTTTAAAATATGACCCGTGCATCATATAAGGTAGTTTAAAAGGATTTATCAATAATACTTTCTTAGATTTACGCGAATATTTGACATTTTAAATAAAACTATCTTTTCGGATTTTGTCGCGGATTTATTTGCATTTTTGTTTCCCGACGTTTCGAATGCTTTACAGCATCCGTGGTCACGGGAGAGTCTCTAGACAAAATCCGAAAAGATAGTTTTATTTAAAAAGGATTTATCAATTTATTTTGAAGCTAACGCTCGTGGGTAGGTATATATTGTATTCTGTGTACATAATATGCACTCTAGCGACAGGCACCCTTGTCGCGTGAAACTTGGGTATCCTTGACATTTGGCGTCTGTTTTTTTATACGACGTGTTTGTTCAACAAAAAGACTACAAGTATAATTATCGTAAGTCTAATGGAAATATTTCTTTTTGTTACAAATTAATCTTAAGATTAAGATGAGAGATTGAATCTTGCTTTAAAAGGAATTAAACTTATTAACAATTAATTTATCAAACGACAGTGTGACCACAGGACTCTTACATAAAAACTTAATGATTAAAAATATGTATTTATGATTTTAATTATACAGAATCTATATATTTCTATTCGAAGCAAAAACTTTGTACCCCTGTTTATGAAAATTGCGCAGACGGAGGAGTATGAAATTTACCACACTTATAGTTTACATAGAGAAGGACTGGACAATGTTAATATTTTTTTTTTAAATTATGCATAAAAATATAATCGATAAAAATCAATAAAAAAACATTACACACAATACCATGTATTTGACATACACACGCACACCTATATACTATTTTATTATTGTTAAAGTCCATGGTCCAAACGAGAATTATGCATAGTTTAATAGCTATTGACGAGCTTTAGTTTTATAAATAAAAAAAACAATACACTCGGCGAACTCTAGTTAAATATTAATATAAAAAGCTAAATAAGTTCGGTACCTAAATGTATTGACTACATACTACAAAATACATATGTATATACCTACGTACAAACAGAGAAGTGCGCTTGTGCGTAAAGGTCGGAATTCAGGGAACGTATAAAATATGCAGGAGAAGTCGTAAGCAGGCCAAATATTATTAAGTCATGAAACCAGGGTCAAAATATAAAATTTAGTAACTGCAGATAATTTAATTTTAGTATCGGCTGAATCACAAACATTACAAAACTTTAAATTTTCACACGAGAGCAAATTCATGTTTTTGTTTTATTGTTTTCCAAGCAAACTCTTTGCGATTTCTCTTACGTTGAGTCGGAGTGAGTGATTATGTCAAAGTGAATGAAGCAGGTTATCACGAACTCTTGCAAACAGACGCGGAGGTGAAGTAGTTCCACATATAATGTCGATATTCTTCTTTCGATTTCACAATCTTCGTCGTGCTGAGGAGAAACGAAAGAAGTGCCACAGAAATACGAACAGTAGACAAACTATGAGTTCAGACACACTCACCGCGCCCTCCCGGCTGCTCGAGCGCCCGCTCAGCGCGCCCGTCGACAGCTTGGACGAGATCGCTCTTCAAATACCCAGGTGCCCGCTATTTATGTATATGCTTTAGTTGTGATCTTGATATCGTTTATACTAAACCTATATGAAGCTTATGGCGCGTCCTGTCGCGATAGACTACTTGTATATTTTTCATACTACATTTAATTGCATGTTATAAATACATATATACGCCATTGTTATTATAAAATCCATTTGCACTAATATCTTCTAAAATGACATTAGTACATATATATTATTTGTCAATTCTGTAGAAATTATTTACTTAGATAATACATAACAATATTTAGTTTACTTGTGATGTATGCACATTGCATATATATGTACCTACTTATAGAATTTTTTATAGAAAAAAAGATATAAAGCATTTTTCTCCCACTATTTACCAGTCTCTTTGCAGTTGCCTGTATTTGAATTGTTTTTGTGTATCAACTTTTACTACTACTTTTTGTTAGAAATTTAAATATTTTTCAAGCACTCTAAATTGACTTTTCAAAAAGCTTTTATAATGCTTCATATAATTGTAAGAAACATAACTTTGACTGAATAGACCTTTGTAATTTTAATGAGTACTATGCCCACATGGCACATAGACAAGAAAAATGTAAGCAATAAAATCAAATTTCCTTATTTTCAATAAAGAAAATGGCTTAATTTAAATTTATATCTACTATAAGGGTAAAAACAGTAGTTCCTCTAATACCCTTATATATTTTTCATGAATATATTTTCACCTCAGGTTTGCATTTCAAAAGTTGATTGAAAATGTCAAAAAAGCAAACAGAATTTTTATTACTGAGAAACTTTCTTGAAATAAAAAGTAGTTTATTATACTTTCGAGAAAGATATAAATGTAAGATTGTGATCATTGGACCAGCTCATTGATTAAACCATTACGATATCTCTGATGAAGCTGGTATAAATAAATAAATATACATGAATTGCTCATTTAAAGGTATTAGATTATACGTATATTACGTATGTAATAAAATGTTAACTGCCTCGGTGGTGTAGTGGCTAGCATGTACGGCTGCACACCCGGAGGTCCTGGGTTCGAGTCCCGGGTCGGGCCAAGTTTAGTTATTGAGTCTTCCTGTATAGTAAGTCTCAGTAACAGCCCGGAGTTGGGAAGTTGGCGGTGTTTCACCCCCGTGCCTCGGAGAGCACGTAAAGCCGTCGGTCCTGCGCCTTAACTCTCACCGGTCGTGTCGAGTGGTCGTCCCACCGGAGTATGAGAGTGATAGGAATAGAGAGTGCACGTTGTGTCTGCGCGTACACTAGAGCATTATAATATCTCCTGCGCAGTTGGCTAATCTCATTGAGATTGGCCGCCGTGGCCGGAATCGGCTAGGAGAACATCATCATCATCATCATGTATATCTTTGAACTAATAATATATAAACATGTACGTCATGAAAGTTTGTTTGAAATTTTTACTGCCATTAATACCAACTAAGTAAAATATAACAACTAAAACTATACTGTATTAAATGAGAAGTAGTACGAAAGATTTCATTATTTCTTCCATTTCTTTCCCAAATTTCTAGCAGAGAAATGTTTTTGGGTTTACAGAAATCCTAACGTGAACCACATTGTATATTAATTGGACCTGCTCACCTGCACTTACCGTTGTTGTAAATAATTCTGTACCTGAGAAGCATAACACTGTAACTCCGTTTTTTACGAATTTGTGTTTTTTACAGTATACTATTATATGTGGCCTTTTCTATAATGGCATCACACTGTTTGTAACAAAATCAACCATCTATTAGAGTTTACAAAATTGTATTTTAATGTATTGCTGAGAAACATTCCAAAGCATAAGGTTTTAAGTGATCATACATTAATATCCCATAATTATTTAAAATGCATTTTACGGTATGACGGGAGATACATTGTTTTGCCGCTACAGTTTTGACGACTAACTAAATAACGAGAATATCTAGGACTAGAATTGAACATAGTAAAAATGTATGAATTATATGTACAAAAATGTAAGGAAGATAGCGTACCAGAAAATATGATAGCAAAACAATGGTTATACCGAAAAGTTTTCAATGAGTATTTCAACCTTTCCTTTTATCAACCGATTTCCTCAAAAAGGAGGAGGTTCTCAATTCGGCTGTATTTTTTTTTATGTTTGTTACCTCCGATACCGATTTGGGCAATTTTTGTTTTGTTTGAAAGTGTATGGGCTGGCACCGATTTTGAAAATATTTGATTAGGTATGTATTTAATAGGTTTAATAGGTTTAATTACTTAGCCAAAGCACACCGACTTCGAAAATATTTGATTAGGTATGTATAGTAAATGAAAACTACCAATCAGTTATTTTTTACTTTTTAGTGCTTTTGTTTGAATTCGGTTTTAATTTTTTTGTTAAAAAGTTTTTATTTAACGACACATTCGATACTTGCGATAAATACACTTCATTATTGAAACTCGGCAGTAGTGATGAAGAAAAAAGAAAAATTGATAAGGATTAAGGACAGAACAGATCATTTAAAAGATGCTAATCTATACAGATAAATAAAATTGAAGTGTCTGTTTGTAATTTCAAAATAACAGCGTTTTACTCAATGCATATGAAATTATATACTTATAAGAAAAACACATTTTTTTTAATTTTCTGTCTGTCTGTCTGTTTGTTTCGGATAATCTCTAAAACGGCTGGACTGATTTTGACGGGACTTTCATTGGAAGATAGCTGATGTTATAGGGAGTAACATAGGCTACTCTTATTTTAGAAAAAGAATTACGGTTCTGCTCAGAAAATCAAAACGTACCTAGGGACGAATCCGAGGGAAGCGAGGGTGAGTCGCTAATAATAGATATAGTTTAAAAAGAAAAGATGAAGAAAGTGCTAGAGCATTTGGAGGACAAAGCCTCACGCTTGTGATGGACTTGCAAAAGTGTTTAGTGGTTCCTTTGTTAGTTAATAAACCGCCAGTCTTTCTACCTACGAAAGCTTAAGACATTCAACGAAACTATGTATACATAATGATACTGATAACAAGTCTTACTGTATGATGTGGGATGAAACATAAAAAGTTAGAGGAGCAATTAGCAAATGAAGTAGGATCATGTATTACTGAATAGCTCCTTAACTATAAGGAGGAAAAAAACAGAAGAAATTAAAATTTGGGCTGATAATTAATCGGTTCTAAACCGGAATGTGATATTATTGTATTGCTATTTTTGGCTACTACATAACACGGGACGTGTTACATTAACCATAAATTTTTACTTCGCAGCCACACTCACTCTGAAGCTGATGTTGTCCATTCCATCATAGAAAGAAAAAAAAGGGAATTATCTTGTTTTGATATTGTCATTTCACTTGATTGGAAGCAGTTCATTAAAATTTCTAAAACGAAAAATCCCCTAGTAGTTCACAATAATTGAGATGATGCTAATATTAGTGTAAAAGCATAACACGGTATGTGATACATTTTTTTTATTTAGTTCAAATAAAATCAGATTAACTCTCTTAATGATCTCAATATTGTTGCTAAATTAAAGTTAAATAGTGTAAGTTCTTAGATTATTAAACATTTTCTGCAAAATTTCATCACATTTTATTTCACAAGGTTCATAAAGTTAAGATAGTCAAATATTTTTCGGAAAAAACAGTCTCTTGTAAAGTTTTGATTTTGGTGCTTACAGTTATATGCATCTCAGGTACAGAATTCTTACTAAGGTCGAAACTGCGACGATTATATTTACCTACATAATATTACAAAATATTAAATATATATATATATATATATATATATATATATATATATATATATATATATATATATATATTTAACTAAAATACAAAATAAGATCTTTTTTTATTTTGTTACGTAATCTTAACTTTACGAAAACGTTAAACTGATTGCCCTCACAACATTTTCCTTATTACATTTACAGTGATTTGTAGGCGTAGCCATTTTCACTTAGGTGATTAACTATCTGTACAGAATATCTTATTTTAAAACTAAACCAGGATGAAATATGGTGGGTACAATAAAAATACCCTATTAAAACCTATAATTTCTATTTCTTTTATTTCGTAATTTTTTTAGCTCGCATGTTCCGAATAAAGTCAATCCGACATAACCGGTGTAATTGAGACGGCTTTACATGGTCTCCGAGGCATGAGGTGTAATATCATCAACTTTCTAAAATGGGTTAAGAATTTCTTGCTGTTTTTCCAGAACCAAAAATTTCGAACCAAAGATCTGTACCCGTTACCTTACCTAGTCCATAACCCAATACAGCTCCTATAATAAAATGTGTTACCACTTACCGCCAACGACTTGTTTTATATTTGGTAACCCCCCCAACGTGCGTTCACCTTGTCGTGGTGGGGGGGCTCAGTAGTGCCCGGCAATACAGCCGGGCGTGAAGCCAAGAAACGCACAGGGAGGTGGCCCGCTTCGGTGGGCGGTGGGAGGCGGCCCTCTTCATAGGGTGGTGCACCATGCGGGTTGCTCCTGGTACTTCTCTGATAGCAGATTGGAGCAACCCCGTGGTTGTTGTGGTCTGCTTCGGCAGACCTGCCGTCGGGGCGTCGTAGTTGAATGCGTAAGCGATCCTGCGACGCCCCATTAAGACTGGGGAAGGTTTTGTTGGGTTTTAGTGGGTAGTAGTGGCTTCGCCGGTGAGTCGCCCACACTTCGTGCGTAAATGCATTTCCCAACGTTAAAAAAAACGAGATGATAAGCCTATTTCAACCTATTACACAGTAATAAATATTGTAAGTTATTATTTACTTTAAAAAAAGATAACAAGTTAATATTAGTCCCGCTGATTTTCTTTCGCCAGTTCTTCTCAGGTCTGAGGCTTCTTCTTTCCGACCTGGTAGTAGACTCTGACATGACGTTCAGTAAAAAATTGTAATAATTTACTGCTGAATAAAATATTTAGAATTTGAATATCTTATTAGAAAATTATTAAAAATTAATTTTTATTTAGCAGTATATGAATTGCGATCCAGGTTTCCTTCCTACACTATATTTCTGCTGATTAGGGGGTATACATATCACTTAGTAGGACCTT